TGTAATTTTTATTTTCGCAGCCAGTTGCTTTTTTTACTTGATTTAGATTAATTTAAATTTCCAGAGATATTAAAACTGCGCGAGGTAAGTTCAAACGGGCTGTGCTTCAGTTTACTCCAGAAAGTTGGATGAAAGTAGACTGGTACAACAACTGCGCTCTGAGAAGAACATTGGCAATCTATGGATTTGTCTTAATTTGGCTGGTACGCTCATTTTATGACAATATTGTGAAGCCGAGATTTGCTGTTTGGAAATTTTCGCCGCCATACTATTATGCTTGTCTCTCTGATGAGACCTTTCTTTGAATGAAATTTGATTTTCAGATAACGGAGTTAAATACTTTTTTTCTGAAGCATATATTTGCGGTGGACACATCACATCCATTAGTGTTTTCAAGGATTTTTTTACTTGCTTTCATATCAGCTCCAACGATACGGCAATTTTATTTATTCGCAACTGATCCACGTATCAAGCGCATGGGTATGCAAAGCTGGGTATATGTGGCTATTTGTACTTTAGAAGCATCAATTTGCATCAAATTTGGGCGACCACAACTTCCTCGTGTTAAGCTGACGCTGATTGTTTCATGGATTTGTTTTATGGTTTGTTTAATCAATTACTTTGAGGCACTATAGGAATGTTAGAACTCTTATAACGATTTCAGTAGATTTTGCAAAATATTGTTTTTCAAAAATTTTTCGATATTATGACAAGAGAAGAAGTTTCAGGCTGTTGGTACATTTGCATCCGTTTGGATGTCGGTATGGTGGGTAAAAACGTTCACGGTTAGTGTATGATTTTATCATGCTGCAGTTCAGGGACCAAAAGATGACATTTCTTTTCTTCACTCTTGCTAGATTTTTCCATAAATTTTCTATTTAAATTTTTCATCACTTCTAATTGGACGGTAGACACTTTGAATGTGTTATAGAATGAATTACTGTCCCACAACAGCTTTGTTTTATACTAGCAAATATACAAGACTGTCTTATGAAATAAATTTGCCATATTAGTAATAAGTTGATTTTCTATTACTGGACAAAATATTTCTCATTGATGCATTTATCCTTTGTTACAGAAAACGAAAAAAGTGAATATAAATGGTTGCTTGCGGGATTGCTACCTAGATTCAAGCCATGAAAATCTCGGCACACTTACTGACGAGGTAAAGGCACGTCGAAAACGATTGAATATATCCGAATCATATTTCACCTGATCAAATGAACCCAAATAGAGGAATTGTTTTCCTGTGAATATATATTGTTTTTGCATGAACATATATCTTTCACATACTTTGGCTTTAGTTTAAAACTTGATAATCTCTTCATCCTAATCACAATCAAATTTATATGCAAATAACAGTGAAACTCTAATCCTATAGTTTCAACTTCAGTGTTGGACTTATTGAGTTTAAAGGCATACGTAATCCAAAAGTTTGATTATAACGTATAATACTTTTATGGTTCATTTTTAGCAAGTCTAAAGGTTTGTGAAAACTTGTTGAAATATGAAGAATTTACAATGTATAATATAACTGATCTCTAATTTTTATTATCTCATTAAATGAAATAGTTCTTTATATTTCATCTACATTTTAACGTCAGAAACCAATGCCAAATGAGGGCTTGAAGTAAAACTGGTATAATAAAGTGGATGATGTCATTGCGATGTTTTTTTCATCTATTTCAACTTTTGCAAATGAAAAGCTGCACATATCAAGTCTCATTCTGTTTCCTGTTAGGTATCTCATTCTGCTTCATTCATTAGTGTTTCAATGTTTCTGGAAGAATTCCATTCGATTGCATGGAATTCGTTTCCCGTAAAAGTACCATATGCTGTCATTTATAGTATAATTTCCCTTCAGTTAAAAAAAAAAATATTCCATTTTATGGAAGAAATATAATTTTCCATTTTATTCGCTCTTACATGTCTCATCATTACTTTATTTTTAGTTTTTTTTTTCCAGTTAAAACGATTAATTTTTGGATGTTCCGTTGTTTTAAAGGCAAAGAGGCATTGTGAAATAGAATTGTAACATATTATAATTCAAGTTAAACTGCTCTAAATAAATTCGTTATAATTCAAGCGGCTGTTAAACATCGTATGAACAATATAACACTCAAAAAGTGTCAATAATAGTTACTTTGATACAATAGTAAAGTCCTAAAATCTTTAAACTCCTAATTATTTTGGTGTCGTGGTTTGAATTTTATTTGCTCATTGCAAATAACATTTATAGTTTGTTATTTGCGCTTTTCGTTAATTGGAAGTTAGTTGGATTTTAGAGTGCTTTGGAAATGATTAGTCTTGGTAACCTAATAAAATACTTCATCCCTTTTGATAAATTTCAGATTGGAAAAATTTATCAAAGGATGTCAATCAGTTCTGAACATTAAAGAAAAATATTAGCAGTGTTGAAGACTTCAATGTATACCCTTAAGTTAGTCAATTTTACTAGAAGTTTCTGCTGCAAACAAACCTGTGATGAAGTTCGTGTACGTTTCGCTCCTTCGCCAACCGGTAATTTGCATTTGGGTGGCCTGAGAACGGCACTTTACAACTTTTTGTTTGCTCGATCTCAAGGAGGCAAATTTATTTTGCGAATCGAAGATACTGACCAGCAACGTTTGGTACCTGGCGCAGTGCAGCAGGTCTATATGTTACTATGTTATTTTTTAAGTTTTAGTGATTGGAAGGAAATTAAATTTAATTACACTTATTTGATTGTATACTTTATTTGATTATATACTTTAAAGAGGTCTTTATTTTTCATTTTTTGCAGTTCCATTTTTTCTGATTTTTTTTTCAAAAAAATTCGCTCATTTAATTTTAGTTTTTTCATCTTTGTTTGATTTTGTTTAAATCTAACATAATCCTAGTATCGTTTACGATTTCTTTTAATGCACTGTTAGATATTATCTTCCAGAATTTTAAAATCAAATAGTTAGATAGATCAAATTTATGAATTGTTTTCACTCAGATAGAAGCGACACTTGACCGATACAAGCTTTTTCGGGATGAAGGTCCCTCTAACAGTGGAAAATTCGGACCATATTTACAATCTGAAAGAAAAGCAGTTTATCGGGATGCTGTTGAGCAACTTATCGATAGTGGTAATGCATATCGATGCTTTTGTACGAAAACAGTAAGCATTTCTCGGTTAAATTGGTTGAATAAGCTTTGTATTATTAAATACAATTAGTACTAGCATCTTTAAATTTTAATCGCTTAGATTTTCTACTATTTTTTCACTAGTTTTTAGTGAAAGCATTTCTTCACTTACATTTTGTTAAAAAAATAAATAAATAAAACACAGTGTCGAAAGAACTTTATAATTTCCGATAGTTTCATTTTTTTCATCGACGAACCATCTTTATACATTCCTAAAGTTCTAACTTTCAGTTTTTTATAAATTTTTTATCACTTTTTATATTCTTGAAACCTCTTAAAGCTTCCAAATCTTGTCCTATATAACTATGAATTTAAGCGTTTGGATATGTTACGTCGGGAAGCAGCTAGACGTCATGAAGTACCCAAATATGATAATCATTGTCGTGGATTGACTTATGAAGAAGTCAAGAGGAGACTAGAGAATGGAGAAAATTATGCCATCAGATTCAAGTTAGAACGAAAAGAAGTGTGTTTCGAGGTGATTATTGTTGACTGTTCTGGAACTTTTGCATTTTCGAAATGATATCTTGCACATCTTTTATAGCAGTTTTTCATATCTCGATTTGCATATCCTGAAATTATCGTTTACTTTGTTTTCAGTTTTCTTTTCTCCGTGAACGATAATTTTAAGGATCAAATTTTTGGTGAAATCACACAGAATAGCAATGAAGGAGATTTCATATTAATGAAGACTGATTCGTTCCCAACTTATCATTTGGCGAATGTTGTTGATGATCATCAGATGCGGATCAGTCATGTGATACGTGGTTCTGAATGGCTTACATCTGTTTCGAAACATATACAACTTTATCAGTAAGTAATCATTTGCGATAAAAGATGTCATTTATCGAACCTGGGGAATTAATTGAGTCCGATTTTTGATATGAATGAGTGCAAAGTAACGAAACTATTTGTTGATTTAATATATGATTGTAGGAAGTACCACATATTTAAAAGGGAGAACAAATGAACTTATGAACAAACAGACTGAAATATTTGAATATATATAT